ATGTCTCAATATAAAACAGATGTTGTATCTCAATGGTTTAAACACTTAAAGCAACTCATTTTAAGACACGAGTGAGATACCAGTTTTTGCAGTGTACTTCAATACTAAATAGACCATTACCAAATTTTTTAACTTCATATTCGTGTCAGGTATGAACATGATCGCGGTACTAAAATTATTCCAGCATTATGAATTAGTATTATTTTAATAAGGGTATTAATCAAAAATCTCTATTTCATCCTTAAAAAACATTTTGAGTTTAAAACGTTCCGTATGTAGAAATATTCCTAATTTTTCATAAATAAAGCAGAAGTTTAGTAGGTTTCTGGTGGGGAAAAATGCAGTAAATTGGTTAGGTCCTTGCATTTTCAGTGACATGACGCTTGGATCTTGTTAAAAAAATTTTAATTAGATAATATAATGAGATCCCTATGGAGATATGTAGAAAGCTTTCATTTAATAAATATGATTTTAGATTATTTTGTATATATATATTATTTAATGTAAATAACGAAATCAAAAGAATTAGAAACACTATAGGGGATAGTCGGGTATGTTCGCCTAAAAGAAGTTTAAATTAAAAAATGTTCCTTATTGTTTGTTTGTAACCATCAATGTCATAAAATTCCAACTCAATCTATCATGCATTTTACGAGAAATCATAAATGGAGATGATTTGAATATGGTCATTCATGACCTAACAGTAAAATACCCTGAACAATTATTCATATTGTCTAAAAATGAAAAGAAAACTAAATGAAAGTATTATATTTTTCATAGAATAGAAAATTAAAATTGATAAATATTATATTTTAAGATGATGCATGTCTTTTTTAGAAATACTTATCTACTATATTAGGAAAATATTTTTAGACAAAATGTTTTCAAATGCTTTAACTTTATTCTCTACTGTTTTGAATAAAACATTTTTAGCAATGAGGCATTATATTCTTTTAAATAAATGTATTAGAAATAATTTATTTCTCTTGTAAAGAAAATAGAAGCTAGTTATACATAGTTAAGTCCAGAAATGGTTGAACTAAAGGTAAAAGTGAGTTTATGTGCTTGGTCCAAAGATAATAATAGATAGCCAACGCCTAACTTTAAATCCCTTTCTCCGAGTTGCGAATACAGCATCCGGGATCATGAGGGTGTCTGTTAGCGGGGCGGTCGGTTGTCATGGACACGCTCTTGGCTAACCCTCAACCACTCCTCCCTCATCATCTGGATTTCCCAGTTTCGTCGCCATCAAAGATCCACCATCTTCCTTTAACCAGCATTCAACATAGAAATTAGGTGAATTTAAAATTTACCTTAACAAATAATAGAGCTCTGTAATAATAATATAAATACATTTGTTTCTTAAGTTTTATTCGACAACTGATAACCTCACTGATAACTAAATATTCAATAGGCAAATTGGATGAAAAGCATGAGGTAAAAAAAATTTGAGATTTAAGCCTCATTTTTCTTAAAAACTTTCTAAACTCACTAGATTGTTGTATTTTTAGGAAATATCTTGGCATTGCGATATATCGAAACTCATGAATATGCCCTCAAAAAATAAAAAATACTCTTTTCATAAGTATTTTTATTTTTAACAAAGTTTATCATGTATTCTTTAAGTCGTCCTAGAATGGAATTATTGTTTACTTTATAATAAACAAAACCACATATGAGTTCCGTTTAAAAAGTGATATGTAGAGCCAATGCAACTTGAAAAACTATTTTTTAATTAGATAATTAACCCCTTGACTGCTAATACTGAAGATCTTATCTTCATTTTAGACTATATTCACAGACTGCAGCAAAAACACCAAACCCCGTCGTGATATAAATTAGTTCAATTAAACAAAAACATTCATTATAACCGGTTGAATTCGATATCTTCTTATATTTTCCAAATATTATTTATCTGATGATTAGAAAACTTGAAATTTATTTCTTTTAATAAACGATACAAAGTAGTACGGCTTATACGCTCAATATCAGGATCCTCTTCAATAGTCACAGTTATAGTTTATTTATAGTTGGCATTTCCTTATTAAAGTAAAAAGAATGCATTTTTTTCCTCACTTAGTTCTTGTCAAATTTATCAAATTTTTATTCCACTTTTAGCCGAGACTTTTTCCTATTTGGAGAAGATCCCACCAAAGCATGTGATAGTACGAATGTCGTTTCTCGATTCAATTGTAAAAATTGTTCTTCGATTTATATAGGTGAAACAAAACGCACACTAAACAAACGTTTAAAAAGACACGAAAGTTTACCAAATACAGAAACTGTTGTTTCTATATTTCTTGTTGTTTCAAATTTCTATTTGACTAATTTTTCAAGTTGCAAAATTGACTAATTAAAATTAATATATTTTAATTCATTGAGGTAAAAATAATTAATTTTGAAAACATTTTTTAAATTTCTTGTAATTGTTTCCTCATAGAGGAAGGATTGAATTAGCAAAATTTTCGATTGTGATTTTTTGACGTATTTATAAACTTATTTTCATTATACCTACTCTTTTAGTATACTTTATGTATGAATGGGAATTGCCCGTATAAATGTTATAAATGAATAAAAATTTCGATGTAATTTGATCTCAGAAGTCCAAAAAACGGATTTTAAAAAATTGTCCCGATGTGTGTGTGTGTGTAGTACTAACATTACATTTGCCTCAATATCTCAGAACGAGAAAGAGCTAAAGGCTTCAATTTTTTTTAAATTGTAGGTCTCCCCAGGGGACATAAAATGAGAGTATTTTCAGTCCGATTCATAAAGTTTAACTATAATTTTTTTGCATTTTTTATTTTGTAAAAAAACGTTTTTTGTTCAAAACAAAAAAAAAATGTTAGGACACTTATAAATGTTTTTCTTTAGTTTTGTAGAGTTTTTTTAGACGCATCTTTTGAGTCTTCATTGAATATTTTTGGTTCATATTAGCCAGAGATATTAAAGTTTTAAAAATCTAAATTTTTCGAAAATAATACTTCTTTGAAAATTTTGTTGAATAATGTAAAAGTAACTTCAAAAGTATCATTACCAACTTGTAGAGCATTAAAAAACGCTTCGATTAACCTATTTTTGAACCTCATTCGGTCAAAAATGATGAAATTATTGGTATTTGAAAAATAAAAAATTGTGGAAAATATAATTTTTTCAACACTTTTGTTTATTAAAATATGTGTAATTATTAAACTATTATTACCATCTTATAGATTATATAAAAAAAAACATTTTTTTGGACCAAGATTTAATGATTTTTAACCCTTTTATAAAAATTAATTCTTATATTTCAGTTATTATTATTTCTATGAGGAAGCAAAGTGTTCATGAAATGAACACAAAAATGATATAAATGTACAACTTGGCAGCGGTTTTTTACATTCCTTTGTAACTAAAAAGAGCAATTTTTTAATGAATTTTAGTCTGAAGAGGTAGGCAAACCAGACCCGACGAAACGTCGCTTTTTTAAAAAGAAAAATTGGAAAATGTATTCTAGCCTTCTCTATGATCATTTAATTTAATTTATTATAACTAACTAAAAACATAGAAGAATCGAATATTATAGAAATTATCTTTTGAAAAACAAATTTAATTTACTAATTCATAGTAAAATCCAATGTTTGTCAAAATTGATTTATATTTTTGAATTTTCTGTAGTGGTATAAAGATGCTAATGGGCAAATCTAAAGAAGCGATCGATTTCATGTTACTGACAAATCTTTCTATTTTAAAAGTATTCTATACATTATTTTAATACTTTTACTACTTTAGAAAATCTCTAAGAACCTATTGAACTAAGAAAATTAAATTAATTTTATCCTACTTACCTTATAAATAATAACTTAGACTTATTTAGATGCTAAATTCCACCTCTAATTTATAATGTCTGAAAATTAAAAGATACAAAAAAAATTACATTTATGAATTAAAAAATTTGATGAAAGTTTCATAAACTCGCCATTCACTTCTAAATACCTACTTCATAAATTGCTATGAAGAATAATATTCTTCCTTTTAAAATTATTGACGTGTTTTTCAATAAAATTTATAAAGTTGTTCACTAAAGTTTTAAAAACAGCTTATTGGATTTTCATACTATCAAAAGATTTTTAGGTTGCTGTAAAATTAAAAAAATGTAACATTGAAAAATTTATTAGTACTTTACATATTTTATACATTTAAACGCACGCTTAACAATAAAAGTTAAGTATTGAATTGAATTGTCTACTAGTACACTTTACAAAGCCCTTAAAAGACCAAATTTTAAAAAAAAATTCTTAGCTCTTTTATTATAAATATGTAAAATAAACTTTTTACCTATCTTAGTACATATTTGGAGAATAAAAATAGTGATTTGTTTTAAATTTTTATTTAATATCATAATCTGCAGATAGGATCGAATTCGAACCTCCAAAAAGTTAATTGTCAAATGGCGGACAGTTCATCTCAAAATTGACAAATCCGAAACAATAAATTCAAACTGCTTTTTAAAAAGGAAGGTGTCTTGCATTTTAGAAAACGTTATTCTGAGGAAAACGCGTTTAAACCTTATATCCCCTTAAAGAGCCTTACTTAATTTGTCAGTGGCTCTTTATATTTATTGAATTCTTTTTGAAAAATTTACTTTTATTATTTGCAATTGGTTATGAACACTTTAGGAGGTCTTTTTTCAAGCCTTAATGAGTTAAAAAATACAATAAAATTTTTTTTTTAATTCTAAAGTATAGTAGTACCTTAAAACTAATGCATAAGCAGGTGTGGTCAGATTAATTAGTCGCTACTCAAAGTGATAGAACGATTAGTATATTGTCTTCCAATAAGACTCAGTGAAGCATTTGAAGGATTGATTATCTCCAAGTTTTTGTATTTTTGCTTGTTAAATAAATAAAGTAGAGTTTGCTCCCAGTTGAGTAATCAAATCACCAAAAATAATAATATTACTTATTTCTTATGGCGACAACATACAGATGAAACATAAATAAAATATTTTTAAAACTTACCAGTGAGAGATGTTACTGAACAAATAGAAGAAGAGTTAACTCGTGAAGATGACGGAAAGGCACCAGCAAGATAACCTCCTCTATCCGCAAGAGCTTGTTTAGCTTTTTCCACACTTTGCTTTAATTGTTGAAATGTGCTACCACAGGCAAGGCTTCTGTATGACCAACTTTCCTGTTTAACACCAGATGTGATAGCAACACCAGTAGCTATTCCTGCATTTGCTGTTGCTCCTTTTAAGTCAAGCGCAGCTGTGTAGGAACAGCTAGAACTATCGTACATTACCACAATGTCCCTAAAACATAAATTCATAGTAAGTTTTAAAACTTTTCTTTTAAACGTTTACATATTTTTACAGAGCGCGAATTTATTAGCTTTGATTGGACATCCTATAGGAGGACATATTGTGAGATGGGGTATTTTTATATGAGGCCATAAAAAATGGCTTAATTCTATGTTAAGAGACTTTTTTTAGTCTTTCTAAAATACCTAGTCAGCAAATCTTGTTACAATCAAAACAAGGGCTTTGAATAAGACGACAATGAACAATCACAAAGGGAAAAAATAAAGCATATAAAAATCACTTAAATATGTTTCGTATTGAAAGTGACTCCTACTTGATAAAATAAACTGTCAAGTCACTTATAAGTAACTGAACATTTTTCAAGTCACATTTTTTTAACAGTACTTCTGTTAAATCACTGACCAGAAATTCTTGTTAGAATCAGAATAAGAGAATTTTGTCTCAAACTACTAGTTCAGATAAAATACCATCGAGTTTTGATGGCTATACCTGTGTGGTAACCTACATATATTGTTTTTTCATCTCTAGTATTCTCCCTAGGATTCGATTTCACAAGCGTGCAAATTTTTTCATTCTTTAACCTTAAGAGGGCAAGTATGACCACTGAAATGACCAAAAAATTAGAATTTTAAAATAAGCCTTGAAAAACATGACACTTAAAGGTTTTTAGGGTCACCAAATCCAAAACTGCAAACAGAAGTTTAAAATTCAAAATGGCGGATCCAATATGGCGGACTTTTTAAAAGAATAATCAAAATCACTTGAAACTTGTTACCCTAGTCAAAAAAGTTTTATAGAATTCATCGATGGGAATATTTTTTTTTATTTCTGCACAAATTCTATAGAATTTGACTAGAAATATTTTATATCCATAAAGAAAAATTTTAAATCTTAAAAAATTATTACAAAACAATTCTAATAATTAGTTTTTAAAATTATTTTATTAATTTAATTTTTCGAAAATAATTGTACTCCTTAAAAGAATTTTTGCATAATTTAAAAAAACTAATAAATTTTTGTATTACTTTTTAAAATATGTAATTGAAAATAATAAAAATATTGAATTTTAAAAAATTGAAAGCTTATTTTTATTTTTAAAATTACGTTTAAAGATTTTTCATTAAAAATTTTGATAATTCAATTATTTTCAAAATTTGCAATTAAAATTTTTTTTAAATTGTAACAAAATACTTGAAATAAATTAATTATTTTCAATTAAATTTTACAAAATTTTAATTATTCAAAAACAAATTTTTAAAGATTTTGTTTATAGTTATCTTTTGCATTATAAAAATCAAAGTAAGTTATACTTTTTTTTACTAAAAATTGTGGTATTTTATTGCAATGCTTGGAAGAAAAGTCAAAAAAGTCTTTTAATGTGTCATGGAAATCTTATCATTTATCACCTGAATATAATGGAATTTTATAAGGAAAAATTTGGTGAAACGCTGCATTTGTTTAAGTTTGTGTTATGATTATAATTAATTTAATTCAAATTATTAAAAATAATTAAACATAAAATTAATAGTTAATTTCTAATTAATAATAATATAAAATAGCGATAAAATACGTAAATTATAATTTTTTTAAATAAATAATATAAATTTAATTGAAATCCTATTTTTCAATTATTATTCTTTATTATTTCAAAATCAAAGTAAATAAAATATAAATGTTCTGCTGTCGATAAAGAGGAGAGCACCTTCAATGTGTTCTCCGTCTCTGTAGATTAAGACTAACGAAATATTTACTGGACTCATATTTTACGTTAATAAAATACATTAGACAAAATAAAACTTCTGCTGACATTGAAAACCTTCAATTATTTTTTTAATCATTTTTAAAAAAATTATAAATTACAGGCAAGTTTTTCAGATAGTCTTTAATATTTTTATATGCAGAATTTAATGTCTATGCAAGACCTCAATTTTTAAGTATTTAGTGAAAAAATATTATCAAGTAAAAATATTAGAAAATATTAGTTATTTATATTGATCTTTTAAAATTGTTTATATAATTCTTATGTTTCTTTATTTTCACTAATAAAGCTTGCATGAAAGATAGTACGCACCGGAAGTCATCTGACCAGCTGTGTAGACCTATTTAACAGCAATCGCTTAAAGAGAAATGAGCACTGATGTGGAGAAGTACGTTTTCGATCATTTCACATTGTTATGCAAATAATTGTCTATTTGAACAATTTTCAGACAATGACAATATATACTTGCATAATATAAAAATTAAAATTAAACTGCTTAATATTTTTGTATTTTATAAAATAGTTGTAATAATTCGCAAATATTTTAATAAATTCTAATAAATATAAATTACAATTGAATAAAATGTAACTAAAATGTTATTTGATGTTTACTATTAATTATTCAGTACTATAATTATTTTAATTTTAATTATTTTAAATTAATCCTTAGGATATTGTGACTTATTCAATGTAATGAAGATTGAGATCCACATTATCTGAAGCAATAAAAATATTGTAGATAGACACTTATTTATACATATAAAGTGGTAAAACATTCTACCAGAAAATGTGAAACCAATACACAGTTTACTTTTAATTTTAAATATAATTAAAAAAAAATCTTTACAATATTATTTAAAAATAGTTTTAAGTATATTCGTCTAAATTAGTCGATTTAGAATATACAACATTAAATTTAACATGTCGAGTGATTTTACTAACTTTATAGAATTCAACTATATGCGCGTACACTAAAAAACACTCACAAAAACACATAACTTTAAAACACTGGAATATTTAAATTTAATCGCGTTTCGAAATTTTTTAAATAATAATGCACCTGAATTAGAAAAGCTCATACACGCAAAGATGAAGGTACACTAAGCAGGTTGTCTCGTACAACTACGATGGCATCGGACGACAAATTGCCTGTTTCCGGGCCTCATTACATCACTCTGTTACTGTGTTAACACTCGTCAGGAACCCCACCGTCAATTTTGTTTAAGCTTTTGCATTCATAGTAGAATATTCATTATTTTTTTAATTTTATATATCTTTTTAAACTAATTTGCAATTAACCAGCATACATATTTAATGTGTTAAAAATTAATTTAACAAACAGAGATTGTAAAGAAACTTGTACCATTTTTTTACAAAATTCTTAAAATACAAATTTTGTCACATTTAAAAATTTTTTATTTGCGAACATTTTTAGCTGTGCTTTGATGTTCACTTTTTAAGATAAGAACATAAATTATACTTCATTAAATAGTATTTTTTTATACAATGTAAGAGAAATAATAGGCTTTTCTCAAATATAATGACAGCAATTAGAACTGCAGCTCTGTATCCAACAGAATCAAAATCGGTGGACCTCATGTGGATATAACTTTAGCGGTATAGTAATAAGTGTTGAGGGTGCGAAGGTTTTTATGTATAAAGAACCTAATGGCCGCAGAGTTAAATACCGAATTTCTCACTTGCGTGCACACTAAACGTACGTATTAAAACGATGCACTCTTTTAAAAAGGATGTAACTTTACAAAACTTTATTCTGTAAAAAGATTCCCAATGTGAAAATGATTTGTTTTTTTAAATATAAATACTATCGTTATATATTAAGACAATATCTTTTATCAAATTTTAATTAATTTATTAAATGTCATTCATAGAAAAAATGTTATTTTCTAGTTTAATATATGTGTAATAATATGTAAAAAATTTAAAATGTTTAAATAAATTTCACTATGAAAAAAAATTCTTCAAAATACGTGCATAAGACCCAGACTGCCCCCTTAAGTTTAATCATATGCAGGGTGTCTACTGGTCCTGTTATTCCAGCAAATGTATTAAAATTTGAAAAAATTTGAAAAAAATTTAATTTTTTAAATTATTAATTATTTATTTAACAGGATTGCGATTACATTTGCAAATCAACAACTTCAACGACATTCGAGTCATAGAGGATGAAGTTATGCCTTTGGGACAACTACTGGGTGGTTATAAAGACATTAAACAACCACTGACAGATTTTGAGCAGCCTTCCACTTCAACACGAAGATCATAATGTCTTGTTAAACAATGTTAAGACAAAAGAGTAAGAAGCATAAACAGTAGTACTATTAGATACAATTAAAACTACCAAATAATATTAATTTATTTAAACAAATGTAAAAACTGGAGGGGGTCAAAGTTTAAATTTTTTGTCTTACGTGGAATATTTGAAAAATTTGTAGTTTCTTTAAAATAAAACGAAAATATTTGCTGCCTCTAACTAGCTACATCGTTGATTTCATCCAAAGTTTAAAAAATCTAGGGAAAAGGTTCGGTTGTGGGCATGGTTTGGTTGTGGTCACCCCCGCAGAACTTTTGACAGAAATGGGATTTTTCTAATCTGACAAATATCACGTGTGTGTTATGACTAAACGTAGTTATCGATGAGAATACAAAAGTGATTAGACAACTGTGCTTTTTACTATATATAAATTAATTTTTTGACACGTTGAATATAACAAAAATGTATTTTTAAACATTGTTAAATATTCAACAAATCGAAGTGAATTAATTAAAATGATAAGTTCAATGCGTACTTACATAGTAAATATGTTATATTTTGTGCTCCAATACCAAATATCACAACCATGTTCACAAGCAAATTTTTTTTCATGATGTTTCAAAATGATGGTAAAGTTTGGTTGTGGGCACCTAAATTGATTCGGTTGTGGACACCACTCTTATTCTTGACAAATCGTGAAATATCGTAGTCGATATAATCATAAGTAATTCCTTACAACATTTAATAGTGTTTTATGAATTTTAAAAGTTTTGTAGTTTAGCACGGAAATTAATATGAAAAGACTTTGATTTTTATGCGTCGTTCGTAGCTAGTGACTATGCTGCGTTCATTGTTAGAAATCTTATATGTCCTTATATGGGGAGGAAGTAATGTCAAAATTAGATAAAATCATCCTTACGTAGTTAATGAATGGTTACTTAGTTAATTTTTTTGTAT